TTTCTCTTTCTCTTTCTCTTTCTTTTTTTTCGGGGCTGAGTCAGTATGGCAAACTTTTTTCCTTATCACCACGAAAAATGCAGATGGAATGAAGTGAAAGCGAATGTTTTACTTCATGGGTAACACATATGAAATTGTAATGAATAAACCACTCTATTTCTCAAATATTCTATTAAACACGTAATCCAAGCCAGCCTCTATGCTTGACAGCACGACTTGTAGTCAACATGCTTTCTAGGGCACAGAGTTGTGTAACATGACAATTAGTACAGGCTATGATTTTGAAACACAGATGTTAAACCGGTTCTTCTGAGGTCATTTATTTGGTCAGGTTCCTTTTGAGTTTGAAGCATTTCTATAGTGTCTGACAAAACATGGAAACATTCTCAGATGAAAGGTTACATGCATTCCAGAAGAGTTTTTACTGAAATCAAAAGGAACTCTTCTTGGGAACACTGTGAAAGTGGAAACTCTTCATATATGCAATTTTAATATGCTGGAAGTAAAGAAGTCTAAGTTATTAAATTTGTTTTAAAGCTTAGGAAGCAATTTAAAATTAAATAACATGTGTACTATTAATTAATAACTACAGTGAAAAGTGTGTAATTACATATTAAATTCTCTCATTACACATGCACTGCCTCAAAATGATGTTTTCTCTTTCTAGCAAAATTTCCTGAAAAAAACCCCATAATTGTAAAGCAGAAACTGTTAAATATTTCACAACAGGCAAAAGGAAAGAGAAAGAAACTGCCATGCTTTTTTAAAAAAATTAAGATCTCTATTCAGAAATAAACTGAATTTCAACATGTTTTAATTACATATCCTTCTGTTTATAATCTTCCACTCAAGTCTAAACTAAATAACAACGCTGGCAGAACACAGTAAATTTGAGGAACTGGGATGAACTATTTCTAGGTAAATGTTAACAGAACCGATTTCCTTTATACAAAAATAATTACGTTTAGGCAGGGAGCCAGCCCTTCGTGTGCGCCATCCCCTACTGTCCAATTTCTGTGAAATTCAACATCACCTTTCTTATCTGGCTATTTAGGACTTTTTAATTCTTCTGTTCTCAAAGTCTCAGCTTCTTCTTGCATTTGCAGCTTGTCATTTATCTCCGCCTGTAAAGAAAATCAGAAGAAAAAAGTGGCTATGATGGAGCTATCTTAGGCTGCACATTGTCTTTGTGGTTTTGACACGCTGCAGCGCAGCGCGGCAGACATTATCCTACACACCTTCCTGTTTTGCAGACACAACGGTGTGTCAGCCTGTACTTACGTGATAACACTTTATCGTATCGCTGTGCAGGATTCCGATGTAGGGTACGACTGCCATGAGGAGGAAGTGATCTGGGACAGCCATGTCTCACGTAACCTCATCTCGGGAGATAGGCTAATTTGCCTGTATTCTCAGACAGCCTTTACCAATAAACACCAAATCAGAAAAATTGCTTTGGGACTTGGTTGTTGCCACTGTTTTCCTTTGCTGCAGATGTTTGTTCTCTAGTGTAATACATTTTATTGAAACATTGCTGGAATTAGAAAGCATTACTGAGAATGAACAATTAAAAAAACCATATTTCTATGATGTTGCTTGTCTTTCTTAATTACAAACACAATTATGAATGTGTATCTCATTCTTGAAATCCAGACTGCTGTAGGCACTGAGTGTTTAATTTACAATGTAACATTTGTGAGGAAGGTACTAGGGTTGTGATAGATTTTAGTGAAATCTTTGGCAGCGATAATGCGTTGCAATCTTTAATTCTTTAGCATTTGGCAATGTAGGTTCACTGAAAAAAGGCCACAAATACTGGGGGCTTATGGGGAATTTATGTGTACGTATTAACTTCAGCATTCACCATGGCAAAAATACATGAGAAATGGAAGGAGTACAATCAAAGTTTTTCCAAGAGTTGCAAAGTTTTGTTCAAGCAGCTGGAATGGGCTCAAAGATCCATTACAGACTTCACATAAACTGATCCAAAACTTAGAGATACGTTCTTAATGTACTTAATGTACTTTTGATAAAGTGAATGGATTTGGCCCAGAAAAGCTTGCAGTAACTTGCCATATTAGGAACTTTTTGGCTTGCCAATCATAGAAACCCCCACCAGTGCTATACTGCAACCTACCAATGAAGAACCGCAGTTCTCAGTAGTTCAGATTAGCATCGAAAAGCTGGGATTTCTATCTCAACTTAGAATCTTTAGAGAGAGCCTTCGCCATATTTAGTTTATACTTAAGCATCAACAAACATGTCCCTATCTCTTTACATTATGTGCATACTTAACTGCTTTGCTGTGGACGCTGACCCTCCAGGCTATTCCTCTCCCCAGCCACCCCAGCTGCCTTTTCTTCTCCAGTTTTTACATCCCTCCATCTCTGACTCTACCTTCAGTGAAAGTCAGCTGCCACCAAATGCACTATAGCTGCTGCTGTGATCACTGAGTGTCAGCACTGTGATTTCAGGTTAAAGTTATTTTTTAGACTCAACTAAAGCAAGAGATGCCTCGTGTCCCCTGGAGACGTAATGCAGATTGTGAAATCATAGTTCACATGTAACAACAAAAAGGTATGAGTTTGACCATGTATATGACAAAAATCTAGTTATAAGATTGCTGACCTCAGAGGCCAACAAACTGAGAAATTGGGTAATACACTGATGGAGCAATTTGAAAAGGAAATTATTTTCTCTGTAGATAATGAGTTGCAAGAGAAAAAAAACTAAGAAAAAAAACCATTTTTCTAATGTGTGCAGTTGTTCTGAAGAAAAAAAGTTCTCAGCACTGAAGTGAATGAAATCAAGAGCAAGTGAACAACAGGCATTTCCTTTTTTCTGTAGGTATGGGCAGGCATAAGACAACATAGGCCAGGTTCCCTCCTGATTCTAAAGACATGTTGAAATGGAATATCAGATCAAATAGGTAGATCTCATGATGGCACAAACATTCCAATTTATATTCCCCATTCATACATAATCCATGTAAAGCCATTTATCAATGTCACTCTATTTTCTGACAATATTAGGTAGTTAATAAACTGCTGCTTAGTCAACGGTGCCTAATGTGCTGCATCGAAAGTTTGAATGCCTAATGCCACCTGGTTGTTGCAAACAAGAGCGCATTCCACCAGTTCCTGGTGGAACCTAGGTCTAGCTGGTTTGCTTTCCATAATTTCATATGCTTGAAGGAGCAGTTTACAAAATAACAATGATCTACTCTGCTGGCTTTTCACATGTTTCAATTTATAGACCTCCCTGTAGAGAAGCAGATCACCCTACAACAAATTTAAGTCCACTGACAACAGCTTCCTTCCCTTTCATGAACCCCACAGAAAGAACTCATGGATTCCTCAGTCTGCAGACCACATAGTGAAACCTGATCTGTTCTATAAAGACAGCTCTTGTAGAGTCATGCACCTACCAAATGAAGTACAGAATTGGCAAAAATGTGTTATTTCTTATACAGATTCAAGGATGGTGCATAGATGCACCTAACAATTTATATTAAGCACACATTGCATATGCTCCATCACAGCAGCTGATCCTGAACCCCTGAAAAGGAATTCTATCACTGATATCACTGAGAGCAGGACTTGGCCCATGTTTCTTAACACACAGTAATGCTGAAGATATATGTTGTTATGTTACTGAATATTTTTTATCTTACCACATACAAGCTGACTAAACTAGGAGTTATTTATAGAGGCTAATTCACATTTTTACAGCATATGGATGTGCTTTTTGCCAGCTTTAGCATGAACACAGTTTATGTTCATTAAGGCTGAGCTAGCTAATTAACCATAGACAGAATTAGTAGATAACTTTCTAGTAATAGTACCTCAAGGTTGCCAATAATTTCATTTGGGATTTCATCCAGTGCAGAATTCTGATCTTCAGCAGTGCCACCAGCCACAGCATCTGCCTTGAAGAACTCTACCTCTGGACAGGGCTCTTCCAGGTAACCCTCTTGATCAGACCCCTAACGGCAACCAACCACAAGAAATACGTGAGTTAGAACATCCTCCTGCTGTCTACAAGACCATTTGTCAGCCCAAAGACATGCAGCAATACATGAAGCCTGTTTTTGAGAACTCCTGCTCTGACAGAGACCATCAGTGTCTCTCTTCCATTGCCCAGGCCAGGCAGATCCTGAGGTTGTGAAGTCGCCATGGGGTGAGAGTCCAGAGGTGCTGACTGAGATGTCCTCCTGTTAACTGATCAATGCATTAAAAGCAATTTCATTCAATCATAGAAGAGAATGCATGCTATATTTTGGGAAAAAATATCATTAGTAACTCCAACAGGAATAAATGAGGTAGGAGATTCACAGAAAAATAGCTTTTTGGGGGAAAAAAAAAAAGAAGGAAAATTACTGTATACCTCAGATTCTGTCTCTGCAGCTTTTGGTGACGATCTGAGTGACGAATAGGTATCTGAAGGTACGCCTTCCCCCAGCAGAGCAGGGAAGGGAGGAACTGCAGGTTGAGCAAGTTCAATCATATCCTAGTAGAGAGGAGAGGAGAGGAGAGGAGAGGAGAGGAGAAAGTAATTCAAGTTTAATTATTGCTCAGAGGTTTACTGTAGATTTTTTAAAAATGGAAATGAAATAGCTGACAAACAACAAACAAATAAAACCATTTTTGTTAACTATCCAGGTGCTTATAACTGGAAAGTATACTGAAAATTATTATAGATCAGCTTTAATTTCTAGCTACCTCTCAAGGGACCCTCCTTATAATACTTGGAAGGAACAGATGATTTTCATAATTTCATAACACTGCAGCTTCTTACTCATGTGGGTAATTAAGTTCAGGAAACACAGAGCTTGGGTAACATGCAGTCTTCCCAGAGCAAATTTGTCACTTCTGAACAGCGATCTTGTTGCACTTTGGGATGAAAAGGCCCAGCTGCCTAGAAGGGTATCCTTTCGAAGAACTCAGCTGGAAGCTGTAGTGACACTGCATCAAATAAGGCCCTAAGAAAAATATTTTCATGTGTGACTATAATTTAAGAATTGCTAACAGCCAAAGTTTTGCTGCTTCATCTGCTTGTTCCCATTTCTCTTTCCTATAAACTTGGAACCACACTGGTATTCTGCAGGCACGTGAACTGTGGCTCCAGGAATGCTCTGATAAGGAAGTGGCTTTTTCCCCCCAAGCAGCTGGATGCAGCACTTAGTTCTTGCTTGGGCTCTTGCAAGTGATGCAGAAGGAGGCCCTGAATCCTCTGGAGGGACGAAGTTTTGTGTTGTTTTTCTTTAAAAAATGGAAGACACAACATAGATGTCAAATAGGGTGACAAAAGGCATTTCTGAATGAGCCAGGAACAGGGTATAATACTAAAATGGTATGTTTGGGGCCATATGTTTGCAATGAGAAGTGCCCACCAAGAATACAGGGCAGATGTTCCAGTTCTGAGTCAGCTATTACAAACATGATTTTGCTTGGATTGTGTAAGCCAACTACATTAATTCACATCAGCATAATTGCAGCTCCCATAAATTAATTTGCTCATACCTTTGAAATCATAGCCAGGTTGATATTTGTTGTAGTTAGTTACTTGCTACAGCTAAACATGCTGAAAGTATTAAAGGTTCTACACATTTGCAAATGTGAAAGCAAAAACTGAAAATAAACAGTGAAACCTAGCCACTGTACTCTATTGCATTAAAAATCTCTTTTTCAGTCCTAAAAGCTTTTCAGATGTTTGGACTCTGTCATTATCTTCAAGATTCCCTGTCATGTGTGATTTCGCTAAAAAAAGGCAGACAGTATTAGCCCATGTTTATAAGAACCCAAAAGGCTGACAGAAAGATTTCCAGAATTTAAGTGAGGCGAAAACCAGATTTTACAGAAGCATTTTCCTGTATCACTTGTGACTCAAATTTTACAGCACTGTGCTAGTGCCTCACGAAAGCAATCGTCAGAAAGTTTAGGTTTCACATCAAAATGAAAAAGCCTTAAGTTGAGCTAAATATTATTCTTTCTAAAATAAAAAGATTTTTTTTCAAATTAATTTTTTTAACTAGAGCTCTTTCGCTTTAGCAAATACTTCCATTTTCTCTGGTTTCTAATCTTATATTTTCTTATTAAAAATATTAGCTGAGTTGGATGAGAATTCACTTTCTGCTTCCTTAAAATAACATTTTTTGGCTAGTTAGTTAACTAAACACTCAAAATCTTTTCTTTATTTAGATTAAATGATTACTCGATTTGTTCTCTACAGTTCAAATTTCACAAAATGAAATAACGTAAAAACAAAATAGACCGGGTTTTTAAAATCAATTCCTGTCTGACTAAATACATATTCGCAGCACGGGTAAGATTTTCAAAGGTTCTGTTTTCGACTAATATTTTTACTTCACCGCGTCCTTTTAAAGAGAGCCATTCTTTACTCATCTGTTCCGTGCCTAATAATAACTCTTGGATCATTAAGAAATAACTAAATTACAGCAGAACGAGTCTCTTTAATGAGCCATAAGAGTCTCAACATTCAGCCAAAAGTTTTTTTAAAAGACTGTGAAACTTCAATGTAGAATATGAAGTATTTTGTTAAGTAATAATAAGTTTATGAGCAGCACTACAGTTTACAGCCAAAATATAGTGACCTAAAAATGCCATTCTGCATTGCTCCTTCCTATACATTGTGTCCTTAACAAGTCCAGGGGAAAATTAGAACGAATGAATTGTGGTGAGAGCCCGAAGCCAGCAAACGTATTTAAATGAATCCTTCTGATGCAATACTTTCCTTTAAAAAATACAATTAAGTCTTTGTACTTCCTTTGAACAAAACCTCATGTTTAATAGCACCAATGGCTCTGTAGTAAAATCTATTTAAAAACAGAGAAGGAGACACAGTAAGTTTTACACAGTTAAAGTGTCTTTTAAAAATGTCGCTAGTTTCTGAAGTCTGAGTAAATTTATGGTGAATTACTTCCACTGACCTACATTAAAAAAATTCTTCCTCCTTTTTTTAATTCCTGAAGATTTGTCATTATGTGAGCGTTATTCACTATGACAAAGATGTATTACTCAAAGTGTCCTCTTGAATCAATATAACTATCGGAATGTGAGAAACAGTTTGGCAAGATGATAATGCCTTAAAATTAATTGGCAACATTTTCCTGCACGTCGCAGCCCAATGGGTCCATGAGATTCAAACACAAAGGAATCATAAGGCAGTTGCACAAATGGAGAGGGCATATCAGTGTCAGCAACAGATAAGAGGATGCTCCAAAGGAGACTGGAGGGAGCAGAAGTTAAATGCAATATTCTTACTAATTTCTAGATGCAGTAGGGTGCCCAAAGGCCACTCGGATCCGGACATGTTAGAGCAGGCTGGAGGCTGCTCTAATATTCAGCAGAGGAGAATGTGGGGAATCTCATTTGGTGTCACCCTTACTTTCCCACCCCGTTTACACCAAGCTGTGGCGCAGTCCCAGCTGAGCCCCGTAGCTGGTGTTCAAACATCACTCTCCATGTACAGCCCCACAATTTTTCTCTGGAATTCTTTCCAGTCAAAGTGTGCATAAAGAGAGGCAAGTATAAAAAGCATCATGTTCTGTACATAAGCCCACATACTTTCCTTGTTGTTGAGAGCTAGCAAATTACCTTTCTACTAACATAGGCAGAGCAAAGACAATAAAACAGTATACAGGAAAATTTCTAAAACAGAATAATGGCAGGAAAGAAGATTGGTAAAGTGTTCTAATAAATGAGTTCCACAGATGTGGTAGTTATTATAAAATTAGCTTTGCATAACTTACCAATATACCATTACATTTTCCCCCAGATGTTATCTGTTACTTAAATTAATTTTTCATAAGTTACTGTTATTGCAGATTTTACACACACCGTATTTTATTTTTTTAAGTTTCTGTGGCATAAAACAAGGCCTGGCTGATAGCATTACTGTTAATAATATATGTAAGAGGTTTTGGTATTATACAAATGGCTGCTGGGTATATCTTAATAGTCACAGCACAGAACGTCTGCTCTCAAAATACTATGTAGATTAAAACCAGCTATTTACTTATACTCTAATTCAAGTCATTGAAAAGGTTTGCAGTATTTATGTACGTAGCATGAAGGGAAACAATCTACTCCGGGAATAAATATCAGAGTTTGGGAATTAGAAAAGCTAAGGTCAAGGTCAGTTTGGATTTACTAACATACTTGCTGAAAATTAGAATTTATAGTTTATACTTATTTCGTAAATGAGAAAAGAGACTGAGGGGGTGGATTATTTGTCTCTTTGATACAAGGCTTCTGTATCATGGAAACATTTTAAAACCACCTTTTCTGCTTAATATTCTCTGAAATTCTGTACTCCTCTCCATAGAATCTTAACATTAATTTTCCGTAGCTAATCTTACCAAGCATAGGAAAACAATTATTTATAAGGATTGGAAAAAATATCCCACATTCAGCATGGACCATTTCTAAAGCCTTGTAACACCCTTCAAAGCCTTTCAATGCCTATGGATTTGATTTTATATGAATGACAGATGCATTTTATCAAAGGGTGTTCTTTGTGTGGTATTCTCTATATTCATTTAATCTGCGTAGTTTCTAACCGTATGCCATAAGACCTTATGCTACCAGAGACCTGCAGAGACTTCTCTCTTACATATGATCACACATGAGATTTGCTATGAACCAAAATATTTAATAGAGGATTTATGTTAGTTTGCCATTCATGCTAATAAGCATGCCCAGCTGCACACCTACAAACGCAGTGTCGGTTGCTGGAATAAAAGGCATTTACAATATGGTTTGGCTGTCTGTATTTCATGTGGCTGAATTTGAATGAATAACTAATGGACAGAGATGCACTGCTTCACATTGACTCATCCCAGTCTGCCTTTGTTTTTTTCCCCTCTTTAACCTGCCAGCATATGCAAACACAACAAACCCACCCTACTTGCCTTCAGAGGCATCTCCCATCAGTGTTGTCACAGGTGAGGAGGTTTCTGGGGGGCTGCCGATAGCTCTACAAATACATTTGCCATCCTATTTTGCAGGAGTGCTATACAGGAGGTCCAAAGCATATTATGAAGTCCAAACCTTAATCCAGATACACGGTCTGTGCAGTGTGACAAAGATGGCAGAGCTTCCTTCTGAATGCCTTCACTACACACATTTCTATTAATATTTAGAGCAGAATTAAGATCAATGAGGGACTAAACTTGGCCTCAGAAGTTATGGCCCCAGTTGTTAGTGATGCACATGGAAATTCTGTGTGCACGCTCCTGGGCAGGAGTTTTCAAACCACTGTTCCTTAAAGGAGACAAAAGTTCAGTAAGTCAAAGGTATACATTACTCTCTCTTTTCCTGCATTTTAGAATGCAAGTTAATACGTTTTAAAGAGATTTTTCCATGTTTCTGAGCTGAGATGTGAATCAACTCTGTTGACAATACTTCAGTAATTAATCTAGTCCAAAATAGCTATCTGAAGCAACTTGGTGCCTACATTGACAAAACAGGATCTACTCCTCCCCCCAG